CAACTTGAACCATCGAAAGGCAAATCATTGAAGTAAGAGAATCAGGCATTGGACTGAAGAGCATCATGTCAGAGATTGGACATCAGCTAGAAGGATCGGGTATTGTGCTAAGAAAATTAGATGTTGTGAGAGGTCAACATGCTAATAGATCGAGCAATACACCGAAGGAAAGGACGATACGTTGGAGATTCGAACGAAGTATTGGATAAACAAATGACATGCCAAACAATATGCTGAAGGCTTCATGATTGTAATTAGAGTTGTTAAGTCTTGATCGAAGTCGTTTAGAGTCTAATTGAATTAGTTTTCAGGTATAATCATGTCAACTTGATTATGAGTCTGTTGGGCCTGAACTAAGGTCGAATTAGGCCTATTGGAAGGTTAATTCAGTGACTTAAGGTTCGGTTGGTTGGTGATACTATCAGGCCTAGGTGGTGGTACTACTAGACCCAAGTAATGGTACCGCTTAAGAGCTGAAAAATATGAATTATACTTTTTCAAAAATCCCGACAGTAGTACCGCCCAAGTAGGTAGTGGTATTGCTAGAGTGAGAAAAATATTAAATAAATAATAAGAAAATTGAGTGTGTGTCATGTTACACATGCCATCACTCACGTGATTGACTTACAGGGCACCTATGACTAGCATTCTCAATGATCGTTTGTACTATATTCGGAACTTTCAAACTTGTAAGGTTGGTATCAAAGAATTAAGTACTTAAATAAGGCATCCTTGGTATCTCAAGTCTAAGGACTATATACACAATTGAGATTACAGAATTACTATCTAACGATGAGGTATTATTAACTATCTAATATTCCGTAAGTGAATCATTTAGTGAACTCATTCTCTAATGAGCATCTGTACTATATCTCTAGTATCCTTATACATGCAGTTATAAAACTAGCTACTCACATCATATAGACGAGTATATAGCATACTAGTATGTCCAGTTATCTTGATATCCCTCTCGAGTAACCTATGACTAGGAATATTTAAGATTTATGTTTAAAGGTGAATTGGTCTCATTATTATGATCTCATCATAATCCAATTCTCATTACACAGATCCAAGGACATCACAATATATATTCATTAAATAAAAAAATACTATAATAATTATAACAAAAAAAAATTATATAGTGTATCACACGTGTCATCACTCATATAATTGACTTATTTGACACCTATAATTAATAGTAATAAGGATAGTTGATCTTCATCTATTGGAGAAAAGGTCGACAGTGAAAATTAAAGGCTTCGAGGAAAAAGGAATTAGGAGTAAACATATGTTAGGAAGACTGAATCACTATAAAATGGTTTGCCTCTCTTTACTTGTGACCTAGTTTTATTCTCTTTACTCATAACTCTAACTTAATCAATTGATTTTCTAAAATATGTTAATTTATTTATCGAGCTTTAAAATGATTAAAAATGCTATTACACTAATTCATACCCCACCTCCCCCTCCTTTCTTCGTAAGTGACCCAGATTATACGCTACATGATGGGTATGTATTTTATTGAAGTAGATTGTGTATTCTCAAGACCTCAGCTAGGGACTTCCTAATATGGGATTTATATGCTGGAGGTATAGTTGGACACCATGGTAGGGATCACACAGTTGCACTTGTAGAAGATCAATTTTTTTAACCTAACCTGAATATAGCTAAGATTGTTAAGCGTTGTTGCACCTATCAAGTAAACAAAACCAAAAAACACAACATAGGCCTATACACCACATTATCAGTCCCATACTTACCTTGAAAAGATACAAGTATAAACTTTGTTTTGAGCCTCCCTTGCACTATTTCCAAGCACAACTCCATTACTCTAATGTCTCTCATATAGCAAAGCTATTCCTTAAAGAGGTCATTACGTTACACAATCTTTCCAATTCCATTATCTGATTGAGATGTATGTTTTGTTAACTATTTTTGGAAGATCCTATGAAAATTATTAGGAACTAAACTTAGGTTCTCATCAACATACCATCCTTAGGTTAACGGTTAGATTGAAGTGGTCAATAAGTTATTGGATGACTTCAATTTTTTATAGGTTATCACATGGCTAACTAGGATAAGATACTATATATAGTTGAGTTCATATTTAATAGCGTTATCAATCACTCAACTAGTATTAATTCACTCTAGGTTATCCTTAGCTATCAACTTAGAAAACCTATCGATCTTGCCCCTCTTCCCAACCAATTTCGTCTCTCAAATACTATTGACGTTTTTACTAAACACATTCATGAGTTTCATGATAAGATTATACGAAAGATTACTTTGAGCAATGAATTATATAAGCTAGTAACAAATATGCATTTTAGGTATCAATCTTCTTATGAGAGAGAGCAAGTAATGGTAGGAATCTAACATGAGAGATATCCCACTAGGATCATAAAAAAATAGTATGCTAGGAGCATAAGTTCTTATAAGATACTACATATGATTGGTAATAATGCCTATGTCCTACTAAAAGACATGGGTATCAACAATATTTTCAACGTGGAAGACTTATTACCCTATCATGAATCGATAGAGCCCACATTAGAGATATTCTTTGACATGCAATAATGACAATGAGATCATTCTTTTTCTTCTATGCTAGTATCTCCAATTCTAGAATTTCATTCACACTTGACCGTTCAGGAGGAGGAGGAGAACGTCTTAGATAACTAGCTCATGATCTTTCCCATCGACCGAGAGCAAATATATTTGGTATGATGACATAGACAATCCAACCTTGAGGACCCATGGATTTTAGAATAAGACTTAAAATTGACAAACCCCAACCTCGTAGAATAGTATCTCAATTTTCATTCTTTAGAAATGAATTTGTCACACCTAAGGAGAGTTGATGAGGATCAAAACACCATCACACTATTGTAATGGTCCAAAAGAACATGGAGAGCTTTGAATTTTTATGTGAGTCTTAGGAGTCTTAAAGCCCATAGAGGGCCATTCTTACACATATTTTGTTTTCTTATTAGATTATAGTAGAATTTATGCATGAGATAGTCATCCAAGGGGATGTCATGTATATATCTTAAAGTATGCATGGTATATAATCTTAGAGTAATTATATATCTTCATCCTATGAATTTTTAACCATCTCTCTTTTGTAAGGGGATATGTGACATTCATGCAAGGGTAGATACTTATCTTTATCTTACGGATCTCTACCAAACACTCCTCTAGAATGATATATATGGTATTCATGTAATGGTAAATACTTATCCCCATCCTATAGATCTCTACCTATCACTTTTCTAGGAGGGATGCAACACTCATTCAAGAGACATTCATTCTTATAAAAGCATTATAAACCTCACATTTTAAAATGAATGAATGGAATAAAGGGTAAAGAGCTTATAGCTACCAAGAACCATATGTGAGATGCCTAAGCGAGGAAAGAGTACGCGAGAAGAAAGTCTTCAAGGGTGAGAAGCATTATCATATTTATTCTTTTTCTTTTGCTCCTCCCCACCACCCTTCTCCTTTATCTTCAACCATCACACTAGTATCATCACTATCACAATTGAACCATCACTTGATCGTCGTTAATATAACCCCCATCAACAACTACCATCCGATGTATTACATCTTCTACCACACCATCTGCTTGACTAGTTTGTTTCATCATCAGAGTATTAGATTGTTTTTAATTATGTTAAAAGCTATTTATGAGGGAGATATTCTCTACCCTCATAGCCTAAGTGGTGTATTAACTTGAGAAATATGATTGATTTAATTCTTTGATTGTATCTTATTTAGAACTAACTCTTGACATACTTTATTTCTGGCCCCACCCAACATGAGCCTTTTAAATCCACTTGTTTCAAAAAATTACTCAAGTTATGGTTAGAAAGATAAGTTACTATCCTTATTACTACCACTTGTCTTTCTCAAGCTCTCTAATTTTATTATCTCTCATCACCACTCAACCCCTACATTTGAAAGATGGATGCAAAATTATTTACGTGGAATTTGATTCAGACTTTTTCTCCTCTATGGGCTTTTAGAAATATAATTAAAGATATTCCACATAAATTGATCTTTTTTAATTCCTATATAATCATGAAGTGGAAATGAAACAGTGAACTGATTAACCCAATATGATAAAATAATTAAAATTGTATCATTCTGGAGAGGAGAGTGACCCTCTCATTTGTATTATTTTTTTGTTTATGGTGTTTCTTTTCTGTTTTTAATGCTCAAGTATTTTTTTTTTAAAAAAAATATAATCTACGTGCTTCCCATTGGTCATGTGTTGCTGGCAGCATACTCGATGATTGTTGGGTGTTTAAGGTCTTAGGTACAACACTGGCTGTCAATTAAATCTGCCCGCAGATCTCTGGCTGCATGCATGGTCTGGAAGAGTACTCAGTGAAACAAGTTGATATCGGTTGGTTGGAGATGGTCGTTGACCCTATGCAGCGTTAAGTTGGTTGACTGGACGTCTCAGATATGGCAAGCCCACTTCGGGCGTTCAGATAACTAGTACCCTCCGAAAACGAGTAGTACATCTATCGGGTTCCGCCGCGGGAAACTTTGATCGAGATCTTGTAGGCTTGGTTTGTCATGGTTCAGTACATTTTCAGGTATGTATACATGCACTTGTTGAAGGAAATTGAACTCTCGACGACACTCATTGATGGTGACCCAACTCAAAGGGCACGACCCATTGCTAACCAGACAAGATGTCTACTCGTTTAATATTTAGCTAATCGAAGCAGGACAAAGACAAACATCTCTTCACTTTTTAGCTGTTCTACTTTTCGGACAGTAGTGAGCCAATGGTGAAGCTTCGCTTGATAAGTCAACAAGTCGTCGCCGGATATCATATCACTAGATGCAGAGGTGAATCGGTGTCGATTGCAGTGGTTATTAGATTTTCCGTCAATCAAAACCACACCAGACACTCATGTTTTCTCTGTCGACTATATATATATATATATATAT